TCTTTCGTCTCTCCGCAAGTGCCACTCCACTTGTATCTTTCTTCCAAGTGCAGCAACTTTAGGGTGTCTTTGAGATCGAGTCGAGTTTGTGTTTTTTTAATTTCTTTTTATTTCTTTAACTTGAAATGTAAGAGTTTGTTCGTCCCTTTTCTCGTCCTTAGTCATTTTCGTCGGTAGAAGTCCGTCCTCTCCTTTGTGATCAAGAGATATAGGGTCCCCTGTATTTTTTGATCGCACCAAAGGCTCTAGTATTTGCTATGCTTATTTAGGTGGAGTTTATATAAATAAAGGTATGTTTCTTTTTTTTCTTTTTTTTCTTTGACACTACAACTAATAACATCTATAAAAGCTATATTTGTTCTTTTAAAAAAAGGAGATATCATCAACATTCAATGGATTTTAGGATTTCTATGATGGAAAGTATTGTTATCTTCCAATATTCTGGACGGATAACCCCCTCTTATTCTCAGAGGGAGAGTTATTGCTACTTCAGGGGAATTGATCTGGTCTATCATTTGTTGATTGATTCTAACAATCAAGATTGACATAGAATTTCTTTATAGATTTATATTTTAAATTTATTAGAAAATAGATATTTCATATGTTATTTATTATTTTCATTAAGATTATTATATAATGATCCTTGAATGGTTGTTTCGATTTTCATTTGATAAACTATTAGGTTATGGAGAATTAAATGATATTTTCCTTCAACACCCATTTGCACTTAACCTTTCTCTTCTATGCTTTCAAAAATCAGCACAAACTGTACTGAGGATTCGAACTGTTATCTACAAGCTAAGTATTCATTATGTTCAATCGATTTAACCTACTTCTTTTATCTCATTCAATTCCTTACTGTATTTACATTCCACCACCTACCCTATATCAATAAGCCAAATTTTTATCAAAACAGTTTCACCTTCCATATGAATCGGGTGCATCTCCTATCTAAATATTGGCATCTCTTAAACAACAGCAAAATAAAATAATCTCCTGCCCAAAACAAAAAAAGTAACACCAACCTAATGCATGTGAGAGATGATTCAGAACATAGAAACATCTTAGCTATCAGCATAATAAAACGAAAACACACTTACCCATCTTCTGAAAAGTACCCCACCCATAGTTGTGCTTTATCCCAAGGCATGTTTGGGTGACTCCATTCCAACCAGGCCATCTTCCTTCCAGTTGAATCAATCCGTGGAAAGGCATAAAAATCATTTCCGGAAACTACTTCTTTTGGATCTTCAACCCACATAAATAAAATAAAATAAGCAATAAGAAATATTTGAGCCCGGAGTCCACATTAGGCAAGTGGGTGTAGATTTAATTAAACTGATAGAACAAAGGCAAATTTAAATCATAATCAGTAAACCAAAAGAAGACAAACTATTGAAAAAAAGCCATTGCCATATAAAGCTTCCATCAAGATTTCATAGCTTGAGATAAACAAGCATCATTCTCTGACGTGATATACATATAAAAGCTGATGGGGATCCTTACCTTGAATAGTTTCATCATCAACATTAACAGAGACAATTGTTGTGGCAGGATTTAAACTACTTTTTCGATGATCTGAAAAGCCATAATAGATTGAACTTCTTGAGACAACATGGAAAAATCACACAAAAAACAAAGATGTAGTATTTGCATACAAACCTTCCATCACCGTAAGATATAGTTTTAAGTAAGGATCATAGACACCGTCAGCAAAACGAACTAAAGATCCACCAAAGTCAGGCGTAAGAGGCACTGGACTACCACCTGTTATTTAAAATTAAGGCTTACAAGGTCAAAAAGCATACAACATAGAAAATAAACCACCAAACCAAGGACAAAGAGAAACAGCAGCTATACACATAAAACTCGCTAGCCTATCAAGTTAGAAAAGAGAAAAAGAAAGGAAAACCATACGGAAATTATGTATAGAAATAAAGTTTTCAGTTTTTGCAAGGTGGGGTAGAGGAAAATGAATCATATGAATTTTCCGATAAGAACGCAACACTGCCATTTACTTATTTGCATCATGCATCAAATATGATTAGTGTTTCTATTAATTAAGGGGCATCTTTGTAAAACCCAAAAACTTTCGATCGGATGCATTGCACGTATTTCGATGAGTTGTGACGAAATTAGGCTTAATTTAAAAGTCGTCGGAATTCAACGCAATAAATTTTATAAAATTCTAAACAAAATTTCGATCGAAACGACGGTATAAACAACATGTACCTAATTTCGCACGATTTGAAAATTAAAAATCGTCGAAGTTTGTTTAAGTAAATTTTTAGCCTTTTGCCCAAACTACTCCTCATAAGCCTTAAAGAACTTCTTAAGGGAAGGGACACATGCGTGATTGAACATGTAATTTCTCCCTTAAGCTCCCACTTCCGCCTAGGGACCGAACCATTCGGTCCCTTGGCTTGTTTTGTTCGGCTGCACGCGAGAGGAGGGGGAGAGGGCGGCGGGAGCTTGGCGAATCCGGCGGACAGCAGCGGTTTCCGGCATGCTTTTGAAGGAAAGTGAAAGAGAGAGCTTAGGAAAGAGGAAAGGTAAGCTCAAAACATAGAAATCTTGCTTCTTTTCCAAGATTTTTCACGATTAGAAATTTAGGGTTTTTAAAAATCATGAATTTTGTTAAAGAAAAGTGTGAAGGAAGAAGAGGGTAGGTTTCTTTTGCAAAAAAAATCAAGTTTTCCTTAGATTGCATTAGGTTTAAAAATTTTGGGTTTGCTTAAATGATGGGGCTTTCATAGAAGAGTGATAGAGATTGTATGTGAGCATGATTTTAAACCATAAAAATGAATTTTGCTCAAGGAAAACTTTAGGTTCCAAATTAGGGCTTCACATAAAATTTAATTTTGTTTAGGAATGTAGTTATGAAGGGTTTATAAACATGATTAAGCAATAATTTAATTTTTTTCCTAAAAATTTTGGAGTTTCAAAATTAGAATTTTTCCTAATTTTGTGATTTTAAGCTAAATTGTTAACAAATCCTATTCCTAGGAGACTTTGGAAGTCTCTAATTAAGAGAAAATGAGAATTTGGAAAAGAAAATAATTTTTCCTAATTTCTACATTATTTTAATCCGAAAATAATTAGGTTTATTAATGATATATGTTAGGGAAAGTGGTTTAAATTGTAATTATAAGAAAATATGAAAATTTTGTATTCTTAAAATATAGATTTTCATTGAATCCAAAAATTAAAACTAATTTAATTTAATTTAGGATTGGGTAAAGGGAATTATGCTATGATTATGTTATGCATTAGGTTATGAGTTGTATTTGTAAGTGCTATGAGTTAGAAGTGTTATGAGTTAGATTAATTTTAGAAGTGTATTATGTTATGATTAGTTTGAGTTATAGAAAATGTGATATAATGTATTATATTATAAGTTAGTAATCAAGGTGCTTATTATCCTATGTGTTATGTCTAGGAGAGGTGTTAGATTAAGAAGATTCGCCACAAGTATAACAATTGTTTATCGAGGTAACTGACATTACATTCTAAGGTTCAAGTTTTTCTTAAGTTTACATTGCATAATGTTACTTTATGTTCATATTTTTCATGTTACATTGTTCTATGTCACCTTATACTTGACATGTTAAATAGAAAGTTTTTATACAAAGTGCTTTGCATCATAAGTAGAGAGCTCTTCATATGTTCAAGTTCTTCATTTTCTTTTCATGCTTAAATAAAAAGTCATCATATGTATATTGATATTGTTGTAATCATCTTATGATATGAGAAAAAAAATGCAAGTTTGTGTATGTTCAGGCCATGGGCGGAGGGAGGGGGGGCACGGAGGGAGGAGGGGCACGTGCCCCCCCGATGTGAAACCGAGTGCATGAAAACAAGAACTGCTTGGGAATTTTAATATAAGATTTTAAAGCTTTGCTAGTTATAGAATTAATGCTTACCCAAGTTAGGTTTTCAGAATTATCGAGTTGAAATTAAGTAAGGCATGCGGTTATAACTAGATTAACGGGACAATATCAAATTGACAACATAGAATTAGAGAGTAATGCTATGGGGAGAAACAATAATCCACAATTAACAAATAGAACTTTTCACCTTAGGTCTCTCACTCACTCTCTCGTCGGTGGCACTTTTAACGGAGGAAGATTGAGAGCAACCGAGCGATGCCACTAGGAGACAAATGGCGCACAAAAGCGTAGTCCGTTGGAGCGGTAGCCGGTGGCGGGTAGTCCATGGGATGACTAGTGAGCATCCAACGTCTTATCGAAACTTCCTTGACGGCTATGGTGGGGGCTAAGAGGCAAATGCAGGAAATCTGAAATAATATTCAGATTTTAGTGGTTTAGGAGAGGGATTTAATTTGAATTTCAAATTAATCCAAGGAGGGAGAGAGGGGCGGCAATGGGGAGAAGATTTGGGCTGAATTTGTGGAGCTACTAAGGTGATTAGGAGAGAGAGGGGGGGCCATTAAGGGGAGGAATTGATTTCAAATTTCAGATTTTGAAATTTGAAATTAAAATCATGGAAAACTGAAATTAAACCTGAGGGAGAGAGGTAGTTAAAGAGGTGTTTGAGTAGTGATGAGGTGGCAAGTAGAGAGAGAACAATAGGGGAAGGTGGCCGGCCATATGGGAGAGAGATAGAGGTTTGCAATTAAATAATAGGGCCACAATTAATTAATCAAAATCTGAAATTTAAAGTTCAGAATTTAATTATATCATGTAACTCCCTAATTTAAAGAAAATTGGGAGGGAATTTGAATTTCAAACAATTGTAACTCCTCTTAATTAATTCCCTAATTTAAGGGACTCAATTAGGAAGGTCATTAAGGGAGGGAAATTTAAAGGGGGGCCGGCGGCAAGGGCTCAAGGTGGCCGGCGGCAAGGGGAGCTGAGGGCGGCTGGCTGGCCGGTCGGAAGGGAGTTGCCGGCCGGCGGTTTGGGCTATGCAGCGCGGCGAGTTGAGGGGATGCAAGCCGACAGCCTGGGCTGTCCAGGAGGCCGGCGGCAAGGAGCAATGAGGAAAAAAATTCTTAGGGAGAATTTTGAGGGATCCAAGGAGCAATAATCCAATTTTCCACAAGTGCTTCAACTGAATCTCCGTGAGACGAATCGCTCAAGAGAAAGAAAAAAACTATTAGAAAAAAAACCTAGAACTCACAAAGAGATCTAGCTTCTCCTACGAACTCACTAAGAGATCGTGGAGGTTTGCACTCACAAAGAGAACAAAAGTGGTAAATTTTCATTCATCAAAAACTAACTATTACATAAGAAAAGGGACATATATAGGCCTCCAAATGACAAAGAAAACAAAAGACTAAAATGCCCCTTGGGCTACAATAGCGACCAAATACCCATAAGGGCAAAAGCGGAAAAAACTGAAAATAAAATAAACTACTACATAAAATGACTCAAAATAAAACTCATGATCGTGGTCGTCGATCTCCGGCGTCTCCTGATGGTACTCGTGTCGAAAATGCTGACGATGTCCTCATCACCCCCAACCCCCCTAATTTTTTTTTTTTTACTTAGAACCCCTTATCAAGTTTCATTTTATTTGTTACAGACTTTTTCCATTTATAGTCTTCAATCCACCTTTAATCGGACCATGCAATGCTAGCTGCAGAGAGAGAGAGAGAGATACTAATGGGGTAAAATATTGAAAGAGAGAGGGAGGAATAACTTTCCATTGTGGACAAAATGATGAAATGAGATTTTGATGCTTAATTATTATTTAAAATATTTAGCTATTTAAATATGATTTTATTAAAACTTTTATCATTAATTAACTATTCATTATCTAATAATAATTATTTAATATTAAATTATCATCCAATTATTTAATTATTTTTGCACTGCTAAAGATCTAATGAATTACTGTGAAGGGTTTAGCTTTTCCTCACTCTTTTGCGCAACGAAAATGCTGCGGTCGCATACTCATGACAGTGCACCAAACCAAATCAATATTGTGTATATTCAGCTCTTTTCTCCGTTTCCATACTAAAGCTAAAATTGAAAGCCTAAAGGGGCTTAAAGCTGATTGTTTTAGTGCCTTAATAGAGCAACAAGTTCTCCAACGAGAAAATCTGCTCTAATTTTTGTAATTCTTCCTTTTAAAGTTATTTATTAATCCAGAGAACCACCAATATTTTTTTCTGGACACATGAAAAGCATCAATGATTTATTTTTCCCTTTATTCCTCTCTTGGGACTCACGAGTTACAAGCTTGAGCACGGCTTTCGTTAGGCCCCCCCTGAACAAAATTTCTGGCTCCGTCACTGGTTCAGGCGGAGTACCAAATATGGTGCACTTGCACAATACGGCTCTTCGAGGCAATACGACTCTTCGGGGGCAAAATGATAATGTATGACCAATTATGAGTTTGTACATGATCAGTACAATATGAGTACTCTGGTACAGATGTATAATATATGCATAAGCTAAGTATATGAACACATGAGACAATAAATATTGTATTAAGCAAACGCGACTTAGTATAGCATCATATTAAGCATATAATACAATAGACATCATGTTAAGTATATGACACTTAGCATATGACATCGAAACATAAAATCATATGATATCGAAATATAGAAGCATATGACATATAAGAATGTCATGTAAATACATTAAGCACTTTGCATATTGAGTTCATCTACATTGCACATGAATTTTAGATGTAATTGTCATTTGTTGAGCATAGTTCACTCCCTAGTTTTTGGATATTTTCAAGAGACTCTGCTGTTAGATGAATGGCTGAACGACCTTGGTTCACGTACAGCC